GGGGGGGTCTTTCCATATACAATTGTTAGTATCCATATGAATAAAATAAAAAAAAAAGGTTCCAGTAAACTCGGGTAGCACCAGTCATTTAGGTTCCTCTCTAGAGCCTTATGAAGACCAATGATTGTGGAGGGCTCAAAGATCAAAGCTAAAGGAAAATAAGTTAGGTAGATAAGAGAAAAAAGAGGAGAGAGAAATAGAGGAGGAGGGTAGAGAAGAGGAAAGGAATAGAGAGGGGAAAGGTAAGGTGAGGGAGCCCTAGTGCCCTAGGGGGGTAGGTGTCTTCCCAGAATGGTGTGGGTCATTCCATCGGTAGGTCAACAGACCAGGTGGTCTTGGATGTGGTGGTAGGTTGTAGGGTAGAGCCCTTCCATTCAGGTGTAAATGTGAGCTCGTGACAACGTTCAGAGACTTTCAGTAGACGGATTGGATGGATTGGGGAGTAGCATCGAACAGTAGGAACTCTTTAAATCCAGTAGATAATCAGTTAGGACCAAGAGGAGATTGGTGGAAAGAGATGTAGACCATGGAGCTCTGATAGATCTTCATTGCTGTTCATGATCCCTTCTGGGAGATTTCCCCTTTCTTCCTCACTATGAGTGTCAGTCAGAACAGGAAGTGTGGGACAGTTCCCCCAATGGTGACACAGACAGCAGTTGAGGCACATTTTACACAGGAGCCATGGAGGCAGTGCCATTATCTGCCCGTCCTTTGTACCTTCCAGGGAGGGGACGTCACTCTCTCAGCTGGTAAGGGATTAAGGGGAAGCTTTGCAGAGCAATGATGGGATTAGAGTCATTAGTGACACGGATCTGCCTGCATCTTGTTACAGGGAAGTTTTCTGTGTATAAACACTTTGGTCTCACGTGGACAGGCCCACATCGGATTGAGCCTCAGGTCAAGGGGACAACATGGAGTTGGAAAGGGACACGGATGACTTCCTGATGTATTTCATTCTAATGGAGAAGGTCCCAGTGGGCAACAGGACACAGGAGCCAGGCAAACTGTGCTATATGAGCGAAGAGTCATATCTCCAGCGGGTGTCCGTAGACCACAACCCCACGCAGTCCCTCGATGTCCACTTCATAGAGGACAGCAAACTGGTGGAGGTGGACGTGAACGTCCTGCAACCCCTGACGAGGAAACAGGCCGCCCTCCTGCTGGCCATCACCAATCCCACTGAGCGGCTCAGTTGCTTCCTGGAGAGGGGCCTGCTGGATCAGGCTGTCAAGGCAGAGGTGGGCCAGCGGGTTCTGGTGGAGCATGAGCAGAAGCTGTACCCGGCCTTTATACACTATGTGGGCAACGTTTTGGATAGCAGCACCCTACTGCCCCCCATATACTTTGGGGTGGAGCTGGAGGTAAGTGACACTGGCTTTCTCTCCTATCATATCTTGCTATGGCTGTGATTGTGTTTATTGTATACCTCTGGGACTATTGGTGCTGGATGTGACCACATTGTTCTGGAGCTTTGAGCGGGATGGATGGGTGGGTGGCAAAAATTATCCAGCTGCGAAATAGGTCTGTGCACTCGGAACCTGTATTTCTGTTCTGTAATTGTATTTCTTTGAAATTTAAAAAAGAGGCAAACCTTTAGTACGGGTGATGGAAATTGAGAGTCCTCGTTTGCTTAAGATTTCGGTGAAAACTAGAAGATTTTGGCAAAATTTTGCTATTTTGGAATATGCGGTCAGTGGGGAAGGCAAAAGGGCCTGTGCACTGTCTCCTAGCCCCCTACGTTTCCTACTAGACCCTGCACTGACCTCCAACCTCCTCCCATTGCCTCATAAATCCTGTACTATCCCCCAGGCCCTTTGAGTGTCCCTAGTCCTCTGAAGTGTCCCCCAGCCTGCTCAATTTCCCTCCTAGACCCCGCACTCTCCTCCAGCACCCTGTCCTCCATTTTTTCCTAGACTCTGTACAGTCCCCTAGCAACCCCAAGCATCCCCCAATTCCTGCAATGTCCAACAGCACCCTCAAATATCCCCAAGCCACTTTTAATTTCTCGTTAGACACTGCACTGTTCCTCTCAACTGTCCTCCAGCCCCTTTCAATGTTCCCAAGCACCCTCAAATGTCCACTCCAGTTGCTTGCTGGACTCTTCACCGGTCCCCAGCACCCCCAAGTGTCCCCCATCCCCATGCTGTGTCTATCAGCCCCATGTCAGATCACCCTAGACCCCTCACTGTCCCTTGGAAACCTCAAGGGTCCCCTAATCACCTGCAATTTCCCATAGCTCCCTCAAGTTTACCCCAGCCCACTTGCAGTGTCCGCCGCCCTCTCCAGTTGCCCGCTGGACTCTGCACTGGCCCCCAGCACTCCCAAGTGTCCCCCATCCCCATGCAGTGTCTTATCAGCCCCATGTCAGATCACCCTAGACCCCACACGGTCCTTTGGAAACCTCAAGGGTCCCCTAATCACCTGCAATTTCCCATAGCTCCCTCAAGTTTACCACAGCCCACTTGCACTGTTCTTCAGCCCTCCCTAGTTGCCTACTGGACTCGGCACTAGCCCCCAGCACCCCCAAGAGTCCCCAATCCGCATGCAATGTCTATCAGCTCCTTGTCATTTCACCCTAGACCCTGCACTGTCCCTTAAAAACCTCAAGGGTCCCCTAATCACCTGCAATTTCCCATAGCTCGCTCAAGTTTACTCCAGCCAACCTTCAGTGTTCTCCAGCCCTCCCCAATTGCCTGCTGGACTCCGCACTGGCCCCCAGCACCCCCAAGTAGTGTCCCCATCCCCATGCAGTGTCTACCAGCCCCTTGTCATTTCACCTTAGACCCTGCACTATCCCTTAAAACCTGCAATTTCCCATAGCTCCCTGCAGTTTCCCCCAGCCCACTTGCAGTGTCCTCCAGCCAGTGTCCTCCAGCCCTCTCCAGTGCCCCTCACGGTGTTCCTTTGGTCACCCCAATTCCCCTCAGCCCCCACAATGTCCCCCAGATCCTACAGTTCTCCCACAGCCTCATGCAGTTCCCCCAGCCCCAGACTCACCTCAGCCCCCTCTAGGACGCCCAGTGTTTGGGTGATGGAACAAAGTATCTGGCCTAGGGCAGAAAGATGTACTGACCACACATGAGTGCTCTTTGTTAATTTTTCCAGGTCTGTCTGGAGTCTCTTGTGTGTTGGTGCGCCACTGATTGTGTCTCTGCGGACATGATGCTATGTATGTGT